CTTTTCGTCCTAAAATAAATTGGCATGAATTATACATTTTCGGAATCAGCATCGAATTCTGAACAAAACTGTCGTTTTACATTTTTGAAATTCGACAAAAAAAATTTTTATGAGCTGCGGTTATGATATTCGTGATCACCGTGCTCGAACCTATAGGAATAGACATTATTTTTATTAAAAAGTGGGAAAAAAATTTTCGAAGTCCCTGAGGTATTTGCCCGAAAAATTTTCGAAAATTTTTTTTTGTCGAATTTCAAAAAATGTAAAACGACAGTTTTGTTCAGAATTCGATGCTGATTCCGAAAATGTATAATTCATGCCAATTTATTTTAGAACGAAAAGTGACCATTTTGGCACCCGTCCTTTATTCTAAAATTATGAACAATGTCAGATTTTGTTGAGTTCGTTTTGTCCTTTCTGCTCATATACCATTTAAAAAATTTGAAGTGAATCTCATGCTGCTACAATCAAAGTCAACGATTAAAGTTGCTACGATCAAATCTAAAAACAGCTGCTGTTACTATCTTATCAATTGTGTAAAGAATCCGATAATCGAACGTAAAAACAAAATTATTTTCGAACGTTTGATCGATTTTTCACAGCACTTTCGATTTCTTCGTGCAGTCTCACTTAAGTTGCTGGTGATTTTAGGCTTTAAGAATGTCAGATTTAGTTCATTATACTTAGTTTTAGATGGGAATCAGAGTAAAACAATTTGAGAATTTTAAATATAAAACAGAATAAAAAATCTAGCTTGTTTTAAGAAACTCCACTAAATTTGATCACAATTAAAATGTTCGATGAATCTAAGTTTTCCTGCACAGAAAGGACTTTGATCACTTTTGAAATTTGAAACATGCTGAGAAACTACGTGAGAGAACACGAATACGAATCATTTTGTTCATCTCACGGGGACTCTCAAGGAAAGGAGAAAGCACCTTTGACTTATGTAAAAACACCGGTGAAAAGAACCTTCCAAGAACACGAACAGAACGCGTATTGTTTTTGTCGCATGAATTTGTGAAAAAAAGAAACAACGGTTCAAGACAAGCAACTTTGTTACAGCACGATAGGTTTTCTGTAGTGGAGTCGTTGATGATACATCGAGATATTACTCTTAATTAGAGCATTAGCAGTAGCTGCTCGAATAGTAATTAATCACTTAACATGAAGATTACTGATGAATAAGGTTTAAAAATGTCACGATGATATAAATCAAGGTCGTGAGTAATTTTTCGCTTTCTCTTCCGCTACTTAATAATTTTCCACCGCTAGAAATTCCGCCGAAACTTTATTCACCCTTCTGCGGGTTGCAACACCTCATCCGTACTCACTCACCAACAGTAATATTAGTGACACAATCTCCAAATTTTAGTCGAACTTCTTGAAAAACTATACCGTTATATAAAGAAACGTGTGTGCTAGAATAACTACGAGATTTTCGAAAAATGAACAGATACTTTATGGAATTCCTGGCAAAGAATGATGTAATAGTTTATCAACCAACACAAAGAAACAAACTGTTTACTTTAGTATTTTGATTAATCGTGTCTTTGATTTTCCAACATAATTTTTACTTGTTTTGGGCTAGGGTTTTATTTCATTCTGTTCTAAACACAAAAGTATATGGGATCATAATTTATTTTCGTCAAATGTTATACTTGTCGAATATCCTTGACCTAATTGAAACTCAGCTAATATCGCTATTGTGAATAATGAACAGTTATTGCTAGCAGAAGATTACTGTTGTCTAGGGTATTAATGAATTGAGAGATGGGGATGATACGGTATGTAGATAATGCCTGCCATTAAGTTGTTGTTACCTTTCCTGAATATAGTGAATTATAAACAGGTAAAACCTTAGCAGAAAAGAAGTAAAAATTATGTTGGAAAACCAAAGACACGATTGATCAAAATACTAAAATAACAGATTGTTTCTTTGTGTTGATTGATAAACTATTACATCATTCTTTTGTTAGGAATTCCATAAGGTATCTGTTCATTTTTCGAAAATCTCGTAGTTGTTTTTGCTTATGCGCATGTATATATATACATTTTCTTATATAATTATGATTATTCAAGCTTGAATGACCTTTTCTCATATTAGTATGTTTTTCTAATTTTGTGCGATCATAAAAATGCTAGTTTTTTAAGTCGAAAATGATTTAGAATAGAAATAAATTTCATATTTCGGGAGGAGGCGAAAATTTGCTAAAGTTTCAGTGGAATTTCTAGCGGCGAAAAATTACTCACGACCATAAATCAAACTAAAAACATATTGTAAATGATTAATGACAGTAGACTATTAAGGTCAAAAAAATATGACTCTATCAATCGATTTTTTCTTCTCTTTCTAAAAAAATAATTATTAATCTATTTTGTTAAATTATTAATTTGTTTCAGAAAAAAATTGACAAAATACTGAACGCTATGAAGGAAGATATACGTATTTTCATTAAATATAGCGCTTTCGGACTAATTATGCAATCAGATAAGTTTATATCAGAATATTATACCAAACTGAGAAAGATCTTATTTTGAGAAGCACACACATTCCTTTATATAACGGTATAGTTTTTCAAGAAGTTCGGCCAAAATTTGGGGATTGTGTCACTAATATTACTGTTGGTGAGTGAGTATGGATGATGTGATTATCTACGGATGACTATCTTTACTCAATCTTACAAATCTTTCAAGTCCAGATTGCATGATACTCTTAAATAAAATGATGAACATGAATATCTGTATCTATGTCGAATTTTCTCGTATCTATTTCTGATCATAATTTGTAATACATTGTTGTTATGCGTGATTGAACTCACGAGTTGGAAAAGTCATATGTACGATTGACACATCAATTTTTTTATAATTACATTTAATATAAAACAGATTATTCAAATAATAGAAAAAATAAATACTGTGAAAAACTTTCACCTCGAAATCAAATATTATTATTACAATCAAATACACACATACTATGTGTATATAAAACTATCATGAAAAATATTTCATTGGTATGAGTGAGTTTTTTATGCTCAGAAACTCCAGCTTATCTTAGTAGATAATATATAGGAATTAAATTTTCTATATTGACCTTAGCGGAAGTGATATTAATTCCGCAAAATTATGAGGTAAAATGTAAAACGTTCGATCATTTTGCCACTACTTCAGTAATTATATATTAAGGAAATGATTGTGTGTAGGCATGCACCAGTTACACTTGTTTGCCGGTTAACTGTAGTGGTAAAACTGTAAAACTGCTGTTAACTGTCATTATCATAACTGTTATAATAACTGTTATGACAGTTACAGTTTTATAGTTAACTGCAACTGGTACATACCTAACTGTGTGTATGTGTTTGAACGAGAAGAGATATTTATAGTTCAACAATAGAGAAGTATGACGATAGTATGGATTATTCAGAAGAAAAATGAGGAATAAAAAAAGCGAAGAATCATTTGAAGGCTGTATTTGTTGCATGCATGTTTTTCTACCCCCTGTCACGCTCGATAGAACTTTATATTTCTGCATATCTCATATACATTAAGCAAAAAGGGTGTTAGTGTTACATTTACCAAATATAAATTACAATAAATAATATCATCATTATATATATTATCTTAGTGAGTCTTACATTTTCTACTTATATTCCACTTTTGTTATACAAGAATACGTCACATTTTTTCTACAATACTTTCTTGAAAAACTTTCTGCAGTTAGATTATTACGTCCAGGCAATACGGACGACTCTGTGAATGAATCGATGTCAGCAAGAATAGCTCTAAAATAGAAAAATAAGCATCATCTACTAGCTGTGTTTATAGAAACATTTCACATAATCAGTTTTACTTTAGTATAGTTTAAAATAAAATGGTCAGCATTGAAGAAAATAAAAATCAATATTTTCCGCCATCATTTGGTCATGTTGCTTATGATCCATATCAAAATAGACATCATAGAATTGGAACAAGCGCACCAGAAATTGAACTTTTAAATGAGTTACCATTAACATTCGGAAATAATCAATATATAGCAGAAGAAACAAAATTTTATCCTAATATAACACCATCATCAATAAACAACAATACATCGAGAAGTGTATCTAATAACCAACATTTAGATAATACTTTTGATAAACTATTAGAGAGATATGCACCAGAGTAAGTGATAATTATTGCCTCTGAAAGAGTTTTAATAAAAATAACTTATTTTTTTTTTTTAGTGCAATTCCCCCCTCTAATATAAATCGTCAGGTACCACTTGGAGCGCAACAACAAAACACACTTCCAATAGTCGCGAAGGACTACCCAATCATTCAAAATAATCCCACTACAAATCCAATACCTACAAACGTACAAAAATCGATTTACAGTAGTTCACAACCATCCGTTCAAAATACATCCACAGCACCCCAGCAATCTCTCTACAATAATTTAAATCATCAAAATTCACAGCCAAAAGATATTGTGTTCGTAAATAAAAATGGGGTATCCAGCAACGGATATGCTCCACAAACTATTCCAGTTATACCAGGAAAACTATATACATTGGACGACGATCCACTATTAGAATTTTACGATAAACAAACAACAACAAATAGTAGAAATTTTCAAAATCGTTATCACCATCAACAACAACAACAGCCATCAACTGTTCAAAAGCAAACTATTCAAAGTTCTCAAGGGTCTGATCCATACAAACACTTGTTTCAAGGCTATACAAATACAACATATCCAACGGTAGATCAAATGAAAAAGAGTATGTAACTTGTTTGTAATCAAATGTATTTCATTCTAGCAGCAGCAACAACAGCCTATTTTCGTTTCTCCAAGTAATTTTCAACCATATGCCCAATTTTCAAATCCCGTGAATGACAGACTATTTCCGACATTCTATTCCAACGAATCAAAGTCAACAACAATAAATGGAACCTTGGAACAAAAATTCGATTTAGGAAATTTAATACATCGTGTTCAACAGGATTATATGAGAGAAATAGAACCATTTGTTTCAAGTGTAAAGTTCATTGAAAAAACTCCTGAACTACAACCAGAACTATCAAAATTTGAATTTTCAACACCAGTATCTGTTCGAAAAGGTTTGTTTTTGAACCAAACTCTAACACAAGTATTTCTATGTTCAGCATTTCCATTTTCTAGGATACATGGGACAAGCTGATGATTTATTACGACGAAGTTTTGGTCGTCGAAATAAAGATCGATCGTCGTCTGATCGACGCATGAGACACCATAGACATGATAATAAATATGATAAATACGACAATAAATACGACAATATAGACGAAAGATCATATCGCTCTAAGCGTCGACATAAACAATCATTAACATCCGTGACTTCTACTTCAACAACTGCGAGTTCAAACAAACATCCAAAAAGTAGTAGAAGAAAATCATCAGACCGACTAACACCCATTCAAGGTCAGTCTAACATTAGTAAGTAGCGTTCTCTAAATATTGATACCTATAGTTCGAGTTAAATCAAAAATCATTGAATTTGAACTGAATTTTACGAGGATTCAGAAATATTTGCTTAGTTCAAACAAGTAAGAGAACAATTAATAACTCAAATTCAAACAACCGAGGACGTTATAGAGTTAAACGGGATGATAGAAGTCAAACTATTGAAAGCCTTCGTACTACATCATTTTACTATATCACATCACACCTATTTTTCCCTCTTCTTTTGTTTTAGATGTTCAACACTTGAATCAAACTCAGTCGAGTCAACCCACACAAATGGCAACACATCCACCAAATGTTATATCCGAGAGCTCATATTCGGACGACGAGAGTGATGAAGCGCAAAAACCATTATCACATACAAGCTCTAACTCATCTAGATCATCAGAAAACTCCAATACTTCTGTTATAAATCGCGCTAATGTATCTCGTAATTCTGCGATAAATTCAAGTTCTCCCGTACCTCAGAATCTTGTTAACATCGTAGCTAAAACATTACCCTTGGCTTCAGGTGCAAGTCAGTCAAATACAACACAGTCTATTACCACTCGATCATCTCCACAAACAACTACGATAACTCCAGCTCAAATGGCGCAAAAACAAAATGACGTAGTTTCAGGTTCCTCGTCAGGTTCAGATTACGAGGAGTCTATACATAAATAAAACGAACCGCGATTTTAGAACTCTATCCCCCTCTTTATCAATTTTTGGAAATACCCATAATTTGTGTACAATTCGAATGAGGACGCAAGCACAGAAGAAGAGTTGCATTCACAACCCATAGCAAGCTCAACACAGCAATCAGTAACACCACAGGCTACACCCTCGACGAACTCACGGCTTCCCAACCCTGCTACAACCTCGTCACAAGCTGCGATCCCAAGCGGTACAGCACCGCCAGTCACAGGTACGATACCTTCCACCACAACTTCTTCTCAACCTTCCCTATAATTGCCCCCAAATAGTAAGGCGCCCGTAATTCAAAGTTTAAGCACTGTTTTCTTTTTTTGACTTTAACAGACATATTCTGATAGAGGAAATCGAGCTGAATCCGAATATCACATTTATTTTGTTTTACGACCTTTCCTTCTCGGTGAAAATTGCGAAATACTGAAAAGTATCCGAAAATCGGAAAAACCTATACTTCAGATGTTTTGCTTGTTGTTTTTTCTAATTAAATTTTGGAGCTTTGAAACAGAATTTTTCTGAATCAGCGTATCAAACTGCATAGTATAACGTGCCTTTGAACTTCTCCACATCGCTCTTAACCTTTGCAAAAAATTCATTTCTAAGAGAACTCAAAAACGAAACCCTCCACTCGAAAAAGCATCAAGTCTCTTGCCTTAAGAGATGAAGCCTTGTTTAACGCAGTATTCGGACCGCCGTGCAGCGGAGAATAAAGTTATAACTGCAGATTTCCGAATTTTTGCTGATTGGTTTTGAAGACTCAGTTTTCTGGAAAAATAGTTTTTCAGAAACTCTAAAAAATATCCAAAACCTTTCTTAATGAGGCATGATTGTAGTCCGTAAATTTCTGGTTAGAATGAGACGTCTCCCAGCTCGAAATGGCCTTCCTTTGCAAAGTTATAGAATTTACAAGCAAAGCCCTAAATGTTCATTGGCAGCTCATAGCTACAGAAATAAGGAAAATTTTTTTAGAGTTTCTGAAAAACTGGTTTTCCAGAAAACTGAGTCTTCAAAACCTCAATTTTCATCGAGAAGGAAAGGTCGTAAAACAAAATAAATGTGATATTTGGATTCAGCTCGCTTTCCTCTATCAGAATATGTCTGTTAAAGTCAAAAAAAGAAAACAGTGCTTAAACTTTGAATTACGGGCGCCTTAGGTCATTTCTAACTACAGTTTCTGCTCCAAAGATAGCTGGCAGGAGAAATTCGAGTACACTGCAAGAAGCATCTCAGAGTCAACCATCTACCACTGCTACGGAACCAAGTTAAATCTAAATTGATATATTCAACTAAACCACCCAGGAAGTAGTCGTAATGATATTTGGAAATCTATTCGAGAAGGTTAAATGGTTCACATTTTAACTGTCATAGAAAAACCGAGCTTATTGTCTGTGACGAATCTACGTTTCATACTTTGTTGATTTTTCCAAACTGATTTTGAACTCTCCAAAATACTAAAATTTTTCTATATTAATTTTCGATATTGTATTTTCGAGAAACTCCAACGCATAGTTAGTTTTATTATAAAGGAAACGAGTATATCGGCCTCTTTTGAGAGTTTTTGTTCCTTCAGGAATACCACCAGCAACTGCTGCTGCGGCAGGTGGAAGAAATCCAGAAGGACCAGCAACTGCAGCTGCGGCCGGTGGAAGAAATCCAGCTGGACCAGCAACTGCTGCGGCAGGTGGAAGAAACCCAGAAGGACCAGCAACTGCTGCTGCGGCCGGTGGAAGGAATCCAGCTGGACCAGCAACTGCTGCTGCGGCTGGTGGAAGAAATCCAGCTGGACCAGCTACAGCGGCGGCAGGTGTAAAACCTCCAGAAGCACCAGCAACAGCGACAGGTATGTGTTCTCTTATTTCTCGTTGTCAACTTTAGAAACTGGTGCTGATTCTGTGTTTTGTTTTTAGCTGCTAGTGGATCAAATAAAATATTTACCCAGAAGGACACGAAAAGTTCATCGAAGGATTCTCAATCGAGTTTTGGTTCCAAACTTAAATCATTAAAAGATAGAATAATGCGAAAGGACAAATAAAATGGAGTTGTTTACTTCTATTAGAAAAACGCTATGATTTTTTACTCATGATTCATATCACAGCTACGTATGGTTGGACGGAATCTATGCTGCGAGGAAGTTCTTAAAGAAAGCCGGTGTCAATCAGCTAACAATTTTTCAATGTACTAGCTCAAGTCGTCGTTGTTGATAGCCTGGTATTTATTGTGAGTGTCATGAGCTTCTGTTCTTTATCTGTACAAAATAGCTGTCTTTATGTATCGTGTAAAGTCAGTGATGGTTGGAGGATTTTTTAAAACATGTTTGGAGAGCTATACTAGCTATTTGAGGAGCACATATTATTTTTATTAAACGCGAATATATTTGCAGATTATGTTAAAAGCCGAGTTTTGAAGTTGTTTCTTTGATAATGACCCTAACCCAGCGTTTCCCAAATGGGGTTCCATGGAACCCTGGGGTTCCGTGAAGCGAAACTAAGGGTTCCGCCAGAAAAAAGTAAGAAGATAAAAATTAATTTCACCACGTAAAAAAAATTACGTAGTCTTAAATAATTTTTGTCAAATATGATGTCAAAATACTACTGGGGTTCCGCAAAGTTTTAAATTTTATGAAAGGGTTCCATGGCTAAAATAAATTGGGAAACACTGCCCTAACCTATCAATTTTTGTGGTTTTTTATCAACAGAACAAACGATTGTTTTTCTTAAATAGGAGATCTGAAGAGAGTTGAACTAGCTTGCCTAATCTAGGTTTACGGCTTAGTACGAAGATTTTTGTACAGATTCTTCTATTTACAAATTTCTGTGCAGAATCTGTATGCAGAATGTAGACAAGATTTAAACCAGAACCTTAGCAGAATATTAACAAATTTTGTATAAACGTGAAGCAGATTATGTGGAGAAACGTTGCCTGTTAGATTCTGTAGAATTTCTGATACAAATCTTGTCGATAATATGCACTATTTATAGATCCACAATGGTCTGTTGCAGAACTGTAATGAGTCTGTGCAAAATCCGTACAGAATTTGTGCGGATGTCCATTGTAGAAATATCGTCTAAGTTTGTATCTACTTTCCATAGTCAAAGAATCGTTTTCTTTCTCTCTTTAGTCTGACTGTATCATTGGGTTGTTATCTCATCATAACTTAAACTTTTATAAGACAATTTTTTCTCTTGCAATAAAATAGCTTTTCAGATCGTCATATCTTATGTACAAAACATTGTTACAGACTACAGAGTATACAAATTCCTAACAAAATGAGTACAAAGAAAAAGCTTTTTTCTAATGTTTCATTGTGACTGCTTGTTGAATTTTTCATGATTTTTTCTGTTAATTTTCTATTGTATTATAATACTTTTAAGGATGAGCTTAATTATTGGATTCACACTAGATATTGATGCGATTGTGAAATTGAATATGTAACATTTCTTGCATTATCACATAATTTGTGTTACGTATAAAATTTTGTAATACATTCTTGTTACAGTGTTCATAGCATGTATGTTTAGTCAACAATAGTAAATCATTATTAAAAAAAACAATTCAAATTGTTCACTTTGAACTGGTAACGACGATGAAGTAGCTATTGTGTTGCAGATAGTAAGTTTTAATAATTGGATGATAAAAAAGGTTAATAAAAATTCCTAACTTAATGAGAATTTAAAGGCTGAATGATTTGCTTCTGAGGATGATTGTGCTTGTTGATCAGATAAACAAAAAAATACGTTTTAGATTTATGATATTCACATAAAGTAGAAGAATAAGCGCCTGACTAATACACAGAAAAATTTCTTTCTACATTTCGTCGCTCGAATCCTTTAAAAGAAGTAAAGGCAGTGAAGAAAGAATATGAATATAATCTCCAAAATAGCAACTGTTTGAAACTCTTGTCGTCCGATATGCAAATCTTTGTAGTAGTGTTTATTAACCCAACAAGCAGAAGACTTAGAAGAAACGCTCATATTTTACAGAAAAATTAACTGGCAACAAAATAATAAAAGTGCTTTGCTCTGAAATAATACAACTTTTCTTCCAACTTCGTTGATTGTCAAAAACACTTCCATTCACAACCCCATTATGGCTGTCTAATTTCTCGCTGGCGATTTTCATAGAGGTAGTGAAAACGTTGTTTTACGTATCCCTGTGTTTGCTTTAACTCTTAAAGAACTAGAAGATCCTAGCCATGTGCTGATATGAAAGGGCCAAGGTGAGATGCATAAAGCTTGAACTTACTAAATGGGAGACAAATAATTATGTTGAAACAATCATTTTCACTTGATTGCATTGGAAAATAATTAGCATCTTTAGTTAGAATTGAATCCATAGTTGAGTTCAGTTGCTTATAAAGAGTTGTTGTCAGGTTGAGAAAGGCTAAATCAAATAAATAGTTATAAACTATTTATTTTTCTTTATAAAAATCAGTTAATGCTGAACTGTAATACTACAGAACTTTTAGTACATTATCAAAAATATTCTGTTTTGCTTCATATACAAATTCTCAATTAAATTAATACTTTTCATGAGCACGCTACCTATTTCTGATTATTAGCAGTGACCCTACTCTATTCGAATTTGCACTAGTAATAAATCTTTGACTTTATCCTTTTCATAAATCGAATCAACTTCAGAAATAAATCGTAATAAATTAGCAATTGTTTCTAGTTTTCATCTATGAAACACTATAAGTAACTGATCTCAATAAGTCAAAAGTTGTAAAATACGATGTTTCGAGGTCATATGTCAATTATTTCGCAGTGCGGAAACTATTTGATTTATCTGTTTCTTATACATCATAACTCGTTGCTATCAAATTTCATAAAATACGTTTGATGCGTAAAAAACCAAAAATAAAAACCAAATTACAACACGAATATTCTTAAAAGGATTTTTTTAGTTTATTCAAATACTTCTGATAACGAAAAGAAAAGAAAAATGCATTGCATAGAACAGAAAAAGAATGATAAGCAAGGAAAAAAATCGGTTCAACTAGAGAATGTTTGAATCAAGACCAAAAAAATGTATCAGTAACAGAAATAATATCACAAACGAACTACACAATAATCTAATTTATCACACGATTACAATCAGAAAAACTGTTCAGATGAAACAAGAAAAAGGACGAACGCCATATCCTACACAGTAACTATAAATCTCGAACTGATATATAGGTTAATCTAACAAATTTTCTGAGAAACTAACCTCTCTCTCTCTATGCTTTTAGTTTACTGTACTACAATCATATTTAATTTGTGTCTGAATTAGTTGCTTTAGCTTGCCATCTATTGTTCGTATTAGTATGAGCTCTGAAGAAACACATAGACAAAAGTTATGTACAATAAAAGGCGAAAAGCAGCGAAATGTTCAGAGCCACATCACTTTTAAATTTCCTGCTTAAAAATCTCGAGTGGCGTATCTAAAAAACAAACAAGAATAGACCTTCTATCACTACAGATTTGGAAGCAAAAAGAAACGCTGGTGACTGAATCATATGCTCTAAAAAATAATTGCTAACCACACATGCGACAACTAGAACATATAATAGAGAAGCGTATGTGAAATACAAAGGAAAAGAGTGATATTAACAACTAATAAAGAGCTGCAATTACATTATTCAAAACGCGACAAAAAAAGCAAAATGCAGAAACGACATTTTGTTGATTAAAAGTAAATACACGGTGACTTCGAAAATTGCCTTCCTCAGACCAACGATATGATGAGTTCAGTGAGTATTACTGACTACTTATTTTGCTTTTATTCTTCAAATTACGCCTTAACCGTACGTTTTTTACTCTCACCATCGGTCGTCTTCGATCGTACTAGTCTAAATTGAAAAAAATAACCAGATATCAACACAAGTTCAATAAAAGAAATATTAATTACATATAAAGCAAATGGCACCAGATGGAAGAAAATTGCGTGCGTAAACAAGGAATTGAAATGGCTATCTATTAATAACTCGTTTACGAGATTAAAAAAAATTGAGTGGAAGGAATGCGAAAGTTTAGTGTCTTTATGGTTGCTCCATCCAGTTAATTAAACTCATCACAGAGTATACAGGCTTTGGTCACTGATTAAGGATATAAGCTTTATGGGTTGAGCAGGGCAGGTAGAACACACTATAACAATGTACAGGATGGGGATAAGAAGACCTCAGAGTTTAATTTTGGACAATTTAGTCGTCCAAAAGTAAATTCTTTGCATTTGAATCAAAGCTCAAGTGTTCGATTCTATCAATGGTGTAGTGTTCTTTTGTGCTTTACTTCTTTCTGTTCTATCCTTATCTATCTATCTCTCAATCAAATGATTTTTTGAAACTATGAGCTGGAATTTAACTTTAAAAAGCTGCTCGTAGAGAATACAAAGAACTTACGGATCATCGGGGTGATCATGATCGTCTTCTTCGGCTGCAGCAGCCTTTCGTTTTAATTTTTGCCGTCTTTCAAATATTAAAATAACAATAACAAGTACTGAGACAACCGCTACTATACCAATAAAGGGCCATAAAGCAGCCATTTTATCTACAAAACAAAAACAAAATCATATTTTTTGTTTTAAAAAAAATATCTATCGCTCGTTCACCTTTAACACGTAGGTTTGCTGTAAACGTTGCATTTCCAATTGAACATCGGTAGTGACCCATATCTTTTTTTCCAACGTCCTTAATAGATATTGTATTTGTATTATCCATATTATTATCATGCTCCACATTTTTCGATAGTTTTTCATATGACCGATCATCCGAGCTATACCACCATTCAACTGTTTGGTTTGGTGGACTTGTCACACATGTTAAATTTAATAATTCATTTTCGACACGTGTGATCGAACCATACGTTTTGTCTACGATTTCTTTATCTTTATTCGTTGTTATACGAACAGGAGATGGAATTCCTGGAAAAAAACAAATAATCAAACTACTAGAAAATCACTATTCGCCTCGCACATACTCTGAATTTGACCAAATCTACACTCAGAAGGCTTTTGCGTTCTATCATTAGCGTTTGTCGAAACATACCATCCTGTTGCATCAAAATCTTCAGCAGCTAAAACAGAAGTAAATATTAGTTTACAATAAATATCAAGGATTAATGATACAAGCAAGTTTAATAAATATCAGAAAGAGTCTAATTCAACTCCAATGACCTTTCTCACTCGAAATGAACAATGATATACTCACTAACAATTTTTATCAATAATTTCGAGCTACTCGTTCCTTGTTTCACATCATAATGTCCACTGGTTTGTTCAACAGGAATGTCGTCATCGCTATCTTTTTCTTTGTACCATTTATCAAACATTCCATCACCACCACGAGCTAAACATTCCATTTCAACTTGCCCTCCGAGAACAGCTGAAAGGGGTGTTGAGCGATGGCTGGGTGATACTCCTTCATATTGCACATAAGCGAACGCTTTTGTTAAAGCTAAAAATTGAATTTAAACTTTCTAGAAACATATTGAGCCTTCGATACTAAAACTACTTAATGATACAGTCCATACAATTCAAAGGATTGTATTTTTCTCTGATACTCTTTTATTACTAACTTGAGACTACAGGAAAAACTACATCACGTATGTTCCGTTGTACTATATTCTTTGTTCTAACATTATCAACGTTACTTATCTAAGAGTCAATCAGCAAAAAAGTAACTAACCATAAAGCGAAGATTTCTATCGATGAATGCAGACAGTTCCTGTACATAAAAGACAAAGTCTCTAACAGGAAATTTACACAAAGTGTAAAGTCATAATTTAAATCTGTACTTTTAGCTTGTTCAATAAAGCTGTTCCCTAGTGAGAGCAAAATGTCAACTCGATTTTTATTCTGCATGTACATTTTACTGTTAAAAAGTCTGCAAAGAAAAACGCAGCATAGAAAAGATCAAAGTTCTGCGTCTGTTTGCCAGGGAAAATCACTGGTTTATCCAGAATAAACAAATATTTTCAGATCTGTAACAACCGATCTGTAGTCATCCTGTACCCAGTTGTATCCCGTTTATTACCATTTCAAAAACTTAAGCTGTGCAGTTTAATATTCAAAACGCTCTAATGTTCGATTTTTATTACCTGTAAGAGCAAATAGCAAGGTTTTTAACACAACGAAATTGAGATTCATCTTTGAAATCTGTTAAACGATTATCAATGATTTCAAAATCTTTTCTGCACAGTAAGGGCCAGTATCTAAAACTAAGAATTTTTTTTCATTGCATTCCAGTCCGACAGAGCAAAAAAAAGAAAAAAATCAGCCATCTTTTTTAATATTAATGAGCATTTTTGTTTGGAAAGATGCAGTTCAACGTAGATGCACTTCTTAAAAAAATTTTTGTCAGATATATCTTTCTGAAATATGGGCGCAGTACATCAGGTGCGCTATGCAGTCACGTCTGATTGGATTATTTATGGCCAATTATTCATCGATAATAAAACATGAAAAATAAAATGAAGCACTAGTACATATTGTATGTAGCTCATCTTGGATCGAAATAAGTTAAAATGAAAATGAGGTCGATACTTTCACTGTCTGTATGCAGAAGGTGTCCGTCATTTTCGTTGTAGTTTATCTTGTATTGTAGTGTACCTTGTATATATTCTTTTTCAAAAAATCAGTTTCATATTCTACAAAGTGATGGTGTTTTATTTCAATCTACAAGAGAAAAAGAGCTACTAATTTCTGTTTTTCGTCACATCAACAAGCTTAATTAAAATATGAAAAAAGCTCATGATATTTTTGAAGTAGACTAGTAGATCTGTCAAATATATCTCACTAGCTGGTCCTTCTTTCGATAATAAAATGTTTATCAAAAATAGAAAAGTGAGTGAGAGCAATGTCATATATTTCCAGTTTTATATTAATTATTAAGGACAAATTCTCAAATGAAATTAACGCATACAATATCGATTACATACTACTATATATATAAGAATTATATTAACAATTGTTCTAGTTTAAATATTCTCTCAAATATTAACCTATTTTTTTTTATGAAGAATTAAAAATGAGTTTCTTGTTAACTCTAATGATTATTATTAGTTAAAAATAAGGTACTTTTTATTTATAATAATTACTTTTTTGTTCGGATTTCTTTATATAGAACTGGAATAGATTAAAGTGGATTTGAATAATTATCAATAATTTTTTTTGAACATTGAAATTTTCCTGATTACAAAGTACATACAGTGGCAGCATCAAAAATTGAGTAAGATAAATATAGTCTGGAAGTTAAGTGAAGGAGTTTGACCCATCTTTTAATGTTTTGGATCTTAGGGCTATTTTTGAAATATCCTTTCTGCATGGGAGGGTAAACATCT